TACCAAGCGTGCTTCAAAGCTCGAGAAACTAGTTGAACAAAAAGTATGAATCCGATGAAAATGTAGAGGGAATGATAGAAGCCAAGAAAACGAACCAAATAGGGTTTTCCCTAGGACTAACTAAGGAAAAGCAACGTACGCTTTGACGTTTGACGAAATCCGTCCAAAATGTAATCAGAAGAGGGTTTCCTTAGGAAAAAGCAACGAAAACCTCGTTTTTTTTTCAAACCGTGCAGAGCGTGCTTCAAAGCCCAAGAAACTTGTTGACACCCGTCATGTGAGCAGGGTGTTTGCAAATGGGGGAGCGGGGCTGTGTTTTCCCCCAACCCCCCCCGCTTCTTTTAAGTCGTACCAAGCTTGCTTCAAAGCCCAAGAAACTAGTTGAAAAGCATCGTGTGAGACCCCCCCCAACCCCCCCGCTCTTTTTTTTTGGAAGCCGCGCAGAGCGTGCTTCAAAGCCCAAGAGGTGTTTGCAAGTGGGGGGGCTGCGCCCCCCCCCCCCAACCCCCCCCGCTTCTTTTAAGCCGTACCAAGCGTGCTTCAAAGCCCAAGAAACGAAGGAAATGACAGGATATCTGTCCAAAATGTAAGGAAAATAGGGTTTTCCCCCTAGGAAAAACCAAGGAAAACCTGAGGGAAATTACAGGAAATCCGTCCAAAATGTAAAAAAATAGGTTTTTCCCTATGAAAAACCAACGAAAACCCAAGGGAAATGACAGAAAATCCGTCCAAAATGTAAGGAAAGTAGGGTTTTTTCCTAGAGAAAACCAAGAAAATCGACCAAGAAAAAAAAAGGCCCCCCCCAAAAAAAATAGACCCAAAAAAAAACTCCACCCGTAATAGATGACACATGATGACACACTGCAGCTCGTTCTGAGACCTGGCCTCCAGCATGGCCGAGGGCAAGAAGTGCAGGGAAGAGCACGCGAGTGCCGTGTCCGCAAGCCTGCCATGCTGCAAGAGGTCACAAACTCACGCGCGAAATGAAACTTTCTCCAGAGAATCTCCGAGACCTTCCAAGACCTCTTGAGACAAGCGTCGCGCCACATCCGTCTAGGGCCACGCGGCCCGGCAGCAGCGGCAGAACTTTGGCCGCTGCGGCCGAGGGGGTCGCACCCTGCTCAGAAAAAGATTTGAACACCTTCATGATCTGACGTTCAGAGTAACAGCATCTCGATGAAAAATGACAACCGTGGCAATCACTCAATTGCTCTTGACTTGCTGGTTCCCGGGCCTCCAGTGCCCCTCGCCAAACCCCGGCCGCTCGCGGTTGAGCGGCACACGCCTAGGACTTGACCAGCCGGCCCCAGTTAGCCCCACTACGATGTCCAAGTGTGCATCATCATGTGCTAGATTCAGCATCTGCTGCAAAAGTCGATGACATCATGGACATGTGAAAGATTGTGCACCTCGCCCAAGGAGATACCAAGACATGACTTGAGACTGTGGCCGCGAAAGTTAGACACGCGCCGGTGTTTCTACGGCCGCCCCGGCGAGTCTTCCAACAAGCAAGCGAAGCTGGCTGCGTTCCAACGAGCAACAGAGACCCTTCGTGAGGGGGGCATGGGGGCCTTCCAAAAATCAATTACAATACGTTTTCGCGGGGATTGGTAAACGGCAATTCTCCAAAGTGCTAGCTTTCGTGATTCCACAAGGCCGTCGCATCCGAGCCGCAGACCATTCGCCCTTCAGCACCGAGGTTGCCTAAGAATGTCATGCGCCAACGGTCGACAAGGCCATCTGCATCCATCTGCCACAAGAATCAGAAGAAGCCCACGGATGAACTTACAACTTCATCAACCCGGCCTTTATGAGGATAAAGCTTCACGCTGTCCAAGTGCAAAACATCGCTGGACACCTCCAGTCTGGCGATCTAAGCTGTCACGCTCCACGCTGCCGCATGCTGGCGCCGCATGTGGTGCCACTCGCCCGCGAGCATTCACTGTTAAACAAGAACCATCTGAAGCAGAGCTGTGTCAACTTTGAGTGTCAAGCATTGACTGTTCCTTGCCAGGCTCTTCCTTAGAAGTCTAGAAGTCCTGGATGCCCAGACCTTAGGAGCCCTGCCTAGCCCCCTGAGGCATGCGCTCGCGAAGGGAACTTGACCTCTGAAAGGTTCGATACCTGCATTGGCTGCATTTTGGTATCATTAGTTGTCCTCTTGTACTATCGAGTGCGTGTGAGTCTCTGTATGTGTGTTCTCACTTTATGTCACTCCATGCCGCATCATGTGTTGCTGTTTATGAATGTTTTCGACGTCACATGCCGACTCTTGGAGCCTTCTGGATCTGCACTGGCAGCGGCGGCAAAGACTCCTGTCGGAGTTACATTTTTCAGGGCGCTGCAAGCGCGGCCGCCCCATGAAGTCATGAGTCTGACGCGCGAGTCATTCCAGGGTCTTAGAACAGGATCCAAGCAAGCCTGGCATGGACATCGCGTGTCAGCTGCAGTCCTCCTCCATGCCAGCGTGGAGTCAACCTCACATGGTCGTCATACAGAGATGGATCAGCCGATCTGCCCGTACCCGGGTGCAGCTGAGGCACACAGCATGAGTCGAAGCGCAACCACAGCAGCGAAGGCCGCGTAATCAAGCTTCAGCTGCGCCGAAGGTAAAGCTTGTGTTGTCAGCTTGATGTCTTGGGAGGTTGTGTACCATTGGAGCTTAGTAATGGATTCAGTAGATCAATCCAAAGGTTCATGGATGCAGTTTCGTAAAGAAGTAGCATATGTGTTAATCCTTTGGACCTTCGACATCCCAGATACGCAAGAATCTCACCACATGCAGCAACTGCCTGCACTAGAATCACTAGAAATCGAACATGTCAGCTCCTGACCAGAGATCTTCCAACGAGGGAATGGACCCGGCCCCTTTGGATTGCAGTACTATGGATGAAGGACATCCATCACGTGTAATAAGTCATGTGGCCCTGTGTTCTGGCGCCTTCTAAAGCAGCTGCTGCCGGATGATGATTCCAAAGTACGAGCAGACTCTGAAACTTATGTTGCTGAGTTTGCCAAGAGGTGAGTTTCTTCATACAGCAGGCAGCAGGTACCGAGAACTGTTTCGCTTTGGCCAAACTAACTCATGATATGCTTTCACTGGGTGCGTGTTGCACTCCAGCCGACGTCATCCTAATCCTTCCGACCACTTTCCACGGCCGCAGCACGGCGTTTGCTTCAGAGAATTGCAAAAAGCAATCCAGGAAGAACGAGGCAGCATGAGCCGGCACTCTCCACACGGCAAGTACTGAAAACAACCTTCGCTGTGACTGCAGCTTGCGCTCAGTGCTCCGCATCGTCGGACTCGAACCCTGAACAATAACCATTGAAGGTGAAACTCCACGGCATCACTGCACGGACTTTTTGTCTGATCTTCACCGCAACTCATGTTTTCAATGGGTGCATGTTGCACTCCATCCGACTTCATGCTGATTCGACCACTTTCCACGGCCACAGCACAGCGTTTGCTGCAGAGAGTTGCAGAAAGCAATCCACCAGTCCCCCAAGGACGTAGACTCTGGAGAAGGATCCTGTGTGGGCTCTGCGAAGGCCGGTACGTCAGCTGCACCTGGAGCTGGCTTTGTCGCAAGCCATGTAGCCACGGAGGGCAGCTGGGTGAACGCACAGATTGGGCGCACGGGCTGGGCCAGTGGAGGCTCGGTTGGGGCCACCGAGTGCGGCTGGGCAAATGCAGCCTGGTCCAGGAGGGGCACCAAGCGTTGTGTCACAGAGGCGCTTGCCAGCCATGTGCCCACGGAAGGCAGGTGGGCAAACGAGGGATCGGCTGCGGCCGCAGGGTTTGGAAATGCTGCGTCTGCTGCGCCTGCACTGATGGGCGGCGTTGCCACCAGCCACGTGGCCACAGAGGGGAGCTGGGTGAATGGCCGCTTTGGGCTTGGGTCGGTTGCCAACTCTGGGCACTCTAGGGGATGTTCAAGCATTTCGGAGGGCATGGGCACATCTTCAACTGTGGGCACATCTGTGACTGCACGGAGGCGGGCCAGGGTGTGATCCACGACCCACTGGGTGGCTGATTTCTCACCGGGCCCTCGGCGGTTGCAACTGTCTTGCTCGAGGACCGGCCCGGAGGCCTTGGTAAGCGCGATCCACCCTGCAAACGGCGTGTGGATGCGTGCAGCTTTGGAAGAGACCTCCTCGACAAGCACTTGGGCGCCCTCGTGCAGGGTAGCCACCACGTCACTACCCCTGCTCTTGGAGGCACGCACCTTCGCCTCGCGAATCACCTTTGCCCAGCCTATGCCCACTCCACCCACTCGATCAACTCCATCCACTTCCACTCGAACCTGCCGGGCGCGAACAAGGGCAGAAGCAACCCGCACACGCAACACTTCATGCGGCTGCTCCGGACCTGGTTCTTCTTGGCCTTGCGTCCTTCAGCTGCAAGCTCCTGCCCACGGGAACTGCAAAGGAAGTTCAAAGAAAGACATGCCCCAACTCTTCCCAACTCCCCCAAGCATGAGACTATGTGAAACCCCTAATGATCAGTCCTCCAAGCGCTTTACCTGCAGCATCTGCTGCTTGCCGTCCACAGTTCGCTGGCCGAGGAGGCGCGGATCTGCCCCATCAGCGCGGCAGACGGACGTAGCTGGACCCTCGCGATCCATGGCTGAGGCTTGAGTCGAGGATTCTTTTGGACGCAGGTCTCTGACACACGCGGTAAAAACGTGATCGTAGCACGCCGGCCCAAAACAGGCACGGCCAGTTTACAACAGGTTTTCGCAGTCGCTTGGCTCGGATGGCTTAGAGCCTAAAGAAGGACGAGGCAGCAGGAAACCTGCACTCTTCACACGGCAAGTGCTGAGAACAACCTTCGCTGTGACTGCAGCTTGCACTCAGTGTTCCGCATCGTCGGACTCGAACCCTGAACAATAACCATTGAAGGTGAAACTCCACGGCATCACTGCACGGACTTTTTGTCTGATCTTCACCGCAACTCATGTTTTCAATGGGTGCATGTTGCACTCCATCCGACTTCATGCTGATTCGACCACTTTCCACGGCCACAGCACAGCGTTTGCTGCAGAGAGTTGCAGAAAGCAATCCACCAGTCCCCCAAGGACGTAGACTCTGGAGAAGGATCCTGTGTGGGCTCTGCGAAGGCCGGTACGTCAGCTGCACCTGGAGCTGGCTTTGTCGCAAGCCATGTAGCCACGGAGGGCAGCTGGGTGAACGCACAGATTGGGCGCACGGGCTGGGCCAGTGGAGGCTCGGTTGGGGCCACCGAGTGCGGCTGGGCAAATGCAGCCTGGTCCAGGAGGGGCACCAAGCGTTGTGTCACAGAGGCGCTTGCCAGCCATGTGCCCACGGAAGGCAGGTGGGCAAACGAGGGATCGGCTGCGGCCGCAGGGTTTGGAAATGCTGCGTCTGCTGCGCCTGCACTGATGGGCGGCGTTGCCACCAGCCACGTGGCCACAGAGGGGAGCTGGGTGAATGGCCGCTTTGGGCTTGGGTCGGTTGCCAACTCTGGGCACTCTAGGGGATGTTCAAGCATTTCGGAGGGCATGGGCACATCTTCAACTGTGGGCACATCTGTGACTGCACGGAGGCGGGCCAGGGTGTGATCCACGACCCACTGGGTGGCTGATTTCTCACCGGGCCCTCGGCGGTTGCAACTGTCTTGCTCGAGGACCGGCCCGGAGGCCTTGGTAAGCGCGATCCACCCTGCAAACGGCGTGTGGATGCGTGCAGCTTTGGAAGAGACCTCCTCGACAAGCACTTGGGCGCCCTCGTGCAGGGTAGCCACCACGTCACTACCCCTGCTCTTGGAGGCACGCACCTTCGCCTCGCGAATCACCTTTGCCCAGCCTATGCCCACTCCACCCACTCGATCAACTCCATCCACTTCCACTCGAACCTGCCGGGCGCGAACAAGGGCAGAAGCAACCCGCACACGCAACACTTCATGCGGCTGCTCCGGACCTGGTTCTTCTTGGCCTTGCGTCCTTCAGCTGCAAGCTCCTGCCCACGGGAACTGCAAAGGAAGTTCAAAGAAAGACATGCCCCAACTCTTCCCAACTCCCCCAAGCATGAGACTATGTGAAACCCCTAACGATCAGTCCTCCAAGCGCTTTACCTGCAGCATCTGCTGCTTGCCGTCCACAGTTCGCTGGCCGAGGAGGCGCGGATCTGCCCCATCAGCGCGGCAGACGGACGTAGCTGGACCCTCGCGATCCATGGCTGAGGCTTGAGTCGAGGATTCTTTTGGACGCAGGTCTCTGACACACGCGGTAAAAACGTGATCGTAGCACGCCGGCCCAAAACAGGCACGGCCAGTTTACAACAGGTTTTCGCAGTCGCTTGGCTCGGATGGCTTAGAGCCTAAAGAAGGACGAGGCAGCAGGAAACCGGCACTCTTCACACGGCAAGTGCTGAGAACAACCTTCGCTGTGACTGCAGCTTGCACTCAGTGTTCCGCATCGTCGGACTCGAACCCTGAACAATAACCATTGAAGGTGAAACTCCACGGCATCACTGCACGGACTTTTTGTCTGATCTTCACCGCAACTCATGTTTTCAATGGGTGCATGTTGCACTCCATCCGACTTCATGCTGATTCGACCACTTTCCACGGCCACAGCACAGCGTTTGCTGCAGAGAGTTGCAGAAAGCAATCCACCAGTCCCCCAAGGACGTAGACTCTGGAGAAGGATCCTGTGTGGGCTCTGCGAAGGCCGGTACGTCAGCTGCACCTGGAGCTGGCTTTGTCGCAAGCCATGTAGCCACGGAGGGCAGCTGGGTGAACGCACAGATTGGGCGCACGGGCTGGGCCAGTGGAGGCTCGGTTGGGGCCACCGAGTGCGGCTGGGCAAATGCAGCCTGGTCCAGGAGGGGCACCAAGCGTTGTGTCACAGAGGCGCTTGCCAGCCATGTGCCCACGGAAGGCAGGTGGGCAAACGAGGGATCGGCTGCGGCCGCAGGGTTTGGAAATGCTGCGTCTGCTGCGCCTGCACTGATGGGCGGCGTTGCCACCAGCCACGTGGCCACAGAGGGGAGCTGGGTGAATGGCCGCTTTGGGCTTGGGTCGGTTGCCAACTCTGGGCACTCTAGGGGATGTTCAAGCATTTCGGAGGGCATGGGCACATCTTCAACTGTGGGCACATCTGTGACTGCACGGAGGCGGGCCAGGGTGTGATCCACGACCCACTGGGTGGCTGATTTCTCACCGGGCCCTCGGCGGTTGCAACTGTCTTGCTCGAGGACCGGCCCGGAGGCCTTGGTAAGCGCGATCCACCCTGCAAACGGCGTGTGGATGCGTGCAGCTTTGGAAGAGACCTCCTCGACAAGCACTTGGGCGCCCTCGTGCAGGGTAGCCACCACGTCACTACCCCTGCTCTTGGAGGCACGCACCTTCGCCTCGCGAATCACCTTTGCCCAGCCTATGCCCACTCCACCCACTCGATCAACTCCATCCACTTCCACTCGAACCTGCCGGGAGCGAACAAGGGCAGAAGCAACCCGCACACGCAACACTTCATGCGGCTGCTCCGGACCTGGTTCTTCTTGGCCTTGCGTCCTTCAGCTGCAAGCTCCTGCCCACAGGAACTGCAAAGGAAGTTCAAAGAAAGACATGCCCCAACTCTTCCCAACTCCCCCAAGCATGAGACTATGTGAAACCCCTAACGATCAGTCCTCCAAGCGCTTTACCTGCAGCATCTGCTGCTTGCCGTCCACAGTTCGCTGGCCGAGGAGGCGCGGATCTGCCCCATCAGCGCGGCAGACGGACGTAGCTGGACCCTCGCGATCCATGGCTGAGGCTTGAGTCGAGGATTCTTTTGGACGCAGGTCTCTGACACACGCGGTAAAAACGTGATCGTAGCACGCCGGCCCAAAACAGGCACGGCCAGTTTACAACAGGTTTTCGCAGTCGCTTGGCTCGGATGGCTTAGAGCCTAAAGAAGGACGAGGCAGCAGGAAACCGGCACTCTTCACACGGCAAGTGCTGAGAACAACCTTCGCTGTGACTGCAGCTTGCACTCAGTGTTCCGCATCGTCGGACTCGAACCCTGAACAATAACCATTGAAGGTGAAACTCCACGGCATCACTGCACGGACTTTTTGTCTGATCTTCACCGCAACTCATGTTTTCAATGGGTGCATGTTGCACTCCATCCGACTTCATGCTGATTCGACCACTTTCCACGGCCACAGCACAGCGTTTGCTGCAGAGAGTTGCAGAAAGCAATCCACCAGTCCCCCAAGGACGTAGACTCTGGAGAAGGATCCTGTGTGGGCTCTGCGAAGGCCGGTACGTCAGCTGCACCTGGAGCTGGCTTTGTCGCAAGCCATGTAGCCACGGAGGGCAGCTGGGTGAACGCACAGATTGGGCGCACGGGCTGGGCCAGTGGAGGCTCGGTTGGGGCCACCGAGTGCGGCTGGGCAAATGCAGCCTGGTCCAGGAGGGGCACCAAGCGTTGTGTCACAGAGGCGCTTGCCAGCCATGTGCCCACGGAAGGCAGGTGGGCAAACGAGGGATCGGCTGCGGCCGCAGGGTTTGGAAATGCTGCGTCTGCTGCGCCTGCACTGATGGGCGGCGTTGCCACCAGCCACGTGGCCACAGAGGGGAGCTGGGTGAATGGCCGCTTTGGGCTTGGGTCGGTTGCCAACTCTGGGCACTCTAGGGGATGTTCAAGCATTTCGGAGGGCATGGGCACATCTTCAACTGTGGGCACATCTGTGACTGCACGGAGGCGGGCCAGGGTGTGATCCACGACCCACTGGGTGGCTGATTTCTCACCGGGCCCTCGGCGGTTGCAACTGTCTTGCTCGAGGACCGGCCCGGAGGCCTTGGTAAGCGCGATCCACCCTGCAAACGGCGTGTGGATGCGTGCAGCTTTGGAAGAGACCTCCTCGACAAGCACTTGGGCGCCCTCGTGCAGGGTAGCCACCACGTCGCTACCCCTGCTCTTGGAGGCACGCACCTTCGCCTCGCGAATCACCTTTGCCCAGCCTATGCCCACTCCACCCACTCGATCAACTCCATCCACTTCCACTCGAACCTGCCGGGCGCGAACAAGGGCAGAAGCAACCCGCACACGCAACACTTCATGCGGCTGCTCCGGACCTGGTTCTTCTTGGCCTTGCGTCCTTCAGCTGCAAGCTCCTGCCCACGGGAACTGCAAAGGAAGTTCAAAGAAAGACATGCCCCAACTCTTCCCAACTCCCCCAAGCATGAGACTATGTGAAACCCCTAACGATCAGTCCTCCAAGCGCTTTACCTGCAGCATCTGCTGCTTGCCGTCCACAGTTCGCTGGCCGAGGAGGCGCGGATCTGCCCCATCAGCGCGGCAGACGGACGTAGCTGGACCCTCGCGATCCATGGCGGAGGCTTGAGTCGAGGATTCTTTTGGACACAGGTAAAAACGTGATCGTAGCACGCCGGCCCAAAACAGGCACGGCCAGTTTACAACAGGTTTTCGCAGTCGCTTGGCTCGGATGGCTTAGAGCCTAAAGAAGGACGAGGCAGCATGAACCGGTCTCCACACGGCAAGTGCTGAGAACAACCTTCGCTGTGACTGCAGCTTGCACTCAGTGTTCCGCATCGTCGGATTCGAACTTGCAAGAATTGAAGCTGAAACATGGCATGGCTTTTTTTTGGTCTTCAACGCAGTCACTGTAATCGGCACTGCAAGCACTGCCATCGTAGCAGACTAGCCAACCAATCTACTTGGGCATGCAGCCCTTACTCAACACCTTAAGAGCATCGAGTGCAACTGCACACTGCTACTTCAGGAGAGGACAGCTCTTCGTCGTTTGCAGAGAACACTGCGTAGTGATCGAGGTGCTTCATGGATGCGCTCAGATAAGGCACGGTTTGCTTTTGGGAACCGGGTGTCACATCGGAGTATATCGGAGTCATGTGGCCTGAACTTCCCCGTGCCTCCAGTGGCAGGCACTCTGACATGCCTGAACCCTTTGCAAGCCTCCGACCGCTTGCTGCTGCTGCACCAGAACTCCAAGCCTGCTTTGGGCTTGTGACTGATTCTGTCTGGAACCTGCCTCTGATGCCCTCACATGCCACCAGGATCTGGAGGATCGACTGATGCCGGATGCCGCTCCCAACTCTTTGCAGTGGACCGTGAATGCAGGCAGACAGCAAAGCCGCAGAGCACCGAAGGGGGGCCGTAAACTTTGGCTTCCTCGTCTCAACCTTCAGATTGTGCCGATGCCTATGCCACTTTGCAGGCATGGCCCAGCTGGCGCAGCAAGCGCCTGCAGTTCAACGACGGCTTTGATGCTATGACCACAGCACATTGCAAAGACTCTTTACATGCCTGTCATCGTTCCGCCCGCCTTATCGACCACGTCACGGGGCCCTTGAAAATGCCACCCACGGCGAAGGCTAAAATGCACAGGCCCATCAGATGCCAGAGGAGAACACCTTGGGCTAGCCGTACCAGTAGAGATGCGAGTCCCGCCAACGTCCATCCCAGAAAACCAAAGAAGCTCAGCTCAAGCTTCAGATACGTGTGTTTGCACACATGGCCCTCCAAAACCGAAGGCGCGAAAAGCACTCCCAGCATTTTCAAGCAACTCCGGGCAAGTAGTTGGACCACGGCTGGTAGACGGCCGTGGTGTTTCATGTCAATTGCAGAGTTTTTTCAGGGTTTACGGTGTTGACCGAATACTGGCATTTACGGCGTTTTTTGCTTCTCTCCAAGACATATTGCACAAGGATGTTTGATGTTTCTGGAAGAAGTCACATGCTCTCGTGCCTTGGCGAACATGCCCAAAAAAAGCGCTAGTATTCACAGCTTTTTGGCCTCTGTGTACAACGTAAGCACAAGGACGTGTAAAGACAAAAACATTTTGAACTCGCAAAGCTTCCTGCAGAACTTGGCCACACTGTGTTGAGAAAAGTGAAGCCGAAGCTCTCGTAACCGATTAGTTTTGCAACAGCTTTTCCCGATGCTTTCAAGTAAGTACTCCCCGCTAAGGCGCAGAAAAAGGGGGGGGTAAAATCACTCATTCTGTACAAACATGTCCATCCGAATGTGCTTCGCGTTCCACGGCCATCTGTCCGCCGTGGACCTAGCTGTTTGCTCGCCAAGCTGCCGCTCTCAGAATTGGAGTCCTGCAAGCCATACGGATCCATCAGAACACCATGGCGACGTTGGGAGAAAGCATTGTACCGAAGACGGCACCTTAATGGTATCGGTATCGGGCATGTCCTTCGTGAGAAGGCGCTGGCAGGCCGGGCTGGGCTCCAGCTGCCAACAGATTGTGCGAAGAATGCGCGGTGCCTGAGATGACGGGTGCACGCGCCACCGGGATCTGCGCAGACGAACTGCAAAGAATCTGCCTCCAGCGGCCCGCTGTAGCGCCAACCGTTGATTCGCAAGGCGACCTCCTTGCAGATCCCACGACTTGCTCCCACAGCTGACGCAGGTACTAAGTGAAGCATCATGTGTCGTCCTCCGCTGATCCCCAAGGTGCGCTTTCACGATCATCCTGCAGTAGGATGCCGGATATTGCAAGCAGAGAAAGCCGCGCACTGTAGCGCACGTTTCGTTTTAAGCACGTAGCCTGCGACCCTTAGGCCTCCAACTGGGCATGCTTTGCTCGGGCCTCCAGAAAGGACGCTGCATTCGATGCAGCACAACGCTGCACCTTGGCGTGACACGGAGCATCGGCATGAATCCGTCAGGCTTCTTGTTCCGTATGTTGCAGCATGCCGCAAGGTGTAGCAATGTCCCATAGGCAATTGTCTCTGAGGCACCGCCAGGGCATCCCGAGTGCTGAGACCAATCTCTGACAGCATACGGCGGCTGCAGCTCTCGGAGCCTGAGAGCTGGGAGTTTGTCTCTGACTATCATTCCTTCTGCGCACCTACTCTCTAACTCCTTCTTCTGAACAGCCCTTCCGGGGTAGCCCCGGCCACGGCGTCCCGCTGCACTGTCTGCTTCTTCTCCTTCTTCTTCTTCTCCTCCTTCTTCTTCTGTGCGCTGCACTGCCTCTCCCTCTCTCACTTCTCTGCTGTCCGTACTCAGCATACTATTGCAAATTTTCTTGCCAGACTAGTGCACTCTTCCATACTATTCATGCTAATGGAGGATCATGGCATCGCCTCAATTGGATGCCATCTAAGCCGGACTGACAATGCTCCACCTCTTCGTGCCCAGCAAGTGACCACTGCAGTTGGAAGTCTCCACATACTTCCACCAATAACCTGTGCAGTTGGTCAGGTGTTGCGTAAGCTCCGCGGGAGGGGCGTGCAGCAGACGGCTCATTGCAAGTGTCAACATACTCCTGTAGTTCTGGCAAGTAGTCAACGAAAACTACACCAGCGAAGGCCCCAAGCAGTGTAGACCAGGACTTGAAGTAGCTGAAAGAGAGGCTTTCCAACATGAAGGGAGACGAAAACAAAGAAAATGGGACGCTGTGGGAGTGCACTTTTTCCATAAAAAAACACGCAAAACTTCAAAAAACCCTAAAAACATACGAAAAACGTGCAACAAGAAATAAACCACACAAAATCCCTACAAACAAAAATAATGAAAAAGAAACAAGAAAACCAAAAAAAAAAAAAAAAAACAATCCTGAGGGACTCTGTTGGGGAGCCGGACCCCTGGGAAGAGTCTCTCAGGATTGGTTTTTTTGTTTTTTGGTTTTTTGGTTTTTTTGGTTTTTTTGGTTTTTTTGGTTTCTTGTCCAAGAGAACCAAAAAAACCAAAAAAACCAAAAAAACCAATCCTGAGGGACTCTGTTGGGGAGCCGGACCCCTGGGAAGAGTCTCTCAGGATTGGTTTTTTTTTTTTTTTTGGTTTTTTTGGTTTTTTTGGTTTTTTGGTTTTTGGTTTTTCGAGGATTTTTGTGTATTATTGGAGATTTTGCTGTACCATTTTCTTTTTTACGGTTTTTCGGTGTCTTCTGAAGGATATTTTTTGTTTTTTCTTTAGGCTTTTAGGTGTTATTTCATTTTTGTACGCTTTTTTTGTGCAGTTGTTTTTGGTATTTGTGTTTTGTGTGTGTTTTATATCTCTGAGTGCCCTTTTGTACGTGACAAAAGCACTAACATGGACAATCAAGCACATGGCATTCTGTGTTTCTCTCATCTGGTGGGCGATGAACGGCATGTCCTGATGCTTGCGAGCGAGAGACGTGACAAAATTCCCTCTAGGTCCTGCTTTGCACAAATTTAAACAACATTGATATATTATCCATGAATTTCGTGCTCCCAGCCACATGGTTTGAAAAGCATGGATTTTTTGGAAAACATTGGCTTTACCGACGTTTTTTCGGCTCCATCCTTCAAAAAATTGGTAAAACCAATGTTATCCATGAATTTCGTGCTCGCGGCTACATGGTTTGAAAATCATGGATTTTTGGAAAACGTCGGTTTTACCAATGTTTTTCGGCTCCATCTTTCAACAACATTGGTAGAACCAATGTTTTCCATGAATTTCGTGCTCTGAGGCTCTCTCCCAGCCACCATTTCTCGAGGAGGTACCAAAAAACAAACTCGAATCCTGCAAAATCTAGAGAGAGTACCAAAACCTCCATATAATCAATCGCGCCCCAATACGCAAGGCATGACATCTATCCTAAAAACTATACCTTAGCTAGGATGAGTCAAGCAATCATCACGCCCTAAGGCTCCTACTAATGTAATAAGGTTCCTATCAATGTAAACAGGGTTCTTATTCATGTTACTGGGATTCGCAAAGGGTTTTAATTGATTTTAAGGATTAGGCTCATATTGGTGTAGCAGGGTTCCGATTAGTTCTTGTACAAGGATTCTATTGTTTTGCAGGCCTATTGGTTCCCATTCATTTTAGTAAGATTCCTTCTCGTTCTAAGAGGATTCCTGTGAATTGTAACCCGGGTTCTTTTTGATTTGTCAAGGGTTCCTATTCATTTTAATAGGCTTCCGTCCTATTAACTGGTATCCGGTTCCGATAATTCAACAGAGGATCTTAATTATTTTAATAAGGCTCCTACTCATGTAATAAGATTCCTATCAATTTTCATCAGATTCTTGTTCATGTTAATGGGATTCGTATTCATATTAATAGGGATCTCATTCACTTTAAAGGGGTTCCTATTGGTTTAGGCTCATGTTCATTTTAGTATTTCTAAGGGTTCGCCTGATTTTTTATAGGAGTCCGATTGGTTCGTATTAATTGTAGTAGGGTTCCTCTTCAGTTTAATAGGATTCCTATTAATTCTACGAGGATTCTCATCTTTTTGTGAGGGGTCTCCAATTCATGTTAAGAGGCTTCCTATTGACTTTACGGCTCCGATGATTTAAAATAGGGTTCCTACGGATATAAATAGAGGATTCCTATTGTTGTTTCTAGGATTCCAATGAAGTTGGCCAATTTATTTTGAAAACGGGGACAGGACATACACCGTATCGCTGCTTTGTGTTGGCGCACTTGCATGTTGTGCATGACTCGTGATTTTGTTTATATAAAATACGGCTGCGCTGTGAGAGTGTTTTTGAAATATCTTTAAACAAATAGAAAAAAGTGCACTCCCACAGCGTCCCGGTCTCAAAACAAAACACAACAACCCACAGCGGAAACCCAGAAATCTTTCAAGGGATTGATAACCCATAGTGTCTACTGCCGGGGATACTTTCCCCAAACGTCCGAAGCAAACATCCGTAGTCAAAGGGGTTGCACCATGGCCAAGTTGCTTTGAGGAAAGCCACGCAGTAAGCAGTGCTGATAGACGGCCTGTCCGTGCTCTGCTTCTTTCTAAGGGCATAACCAGAACCTGCATATGTTTCGGAACACCACCCAGCCCTCCTTCTCAGAGCCTTTTCAACTTCCTAGCCCGGAGCCCCGCAGACAGAGAGCACAGTTGCCCTGAACTCTTTGAAAAAGCTGAACGTCTTGAAGGAGAGAAAGGCACTTCATCCCGAGCTTAGTGATGTGTTTGAGCCTCATGGAGCCATGGTGCGGCGGGTGCCGTCTGCCAGGGCTGCAGCACACGGGCCGCGCCTGAGGCAAATACTACCAGATGAGAGTATCAGTCTGCCGTTCAGCATCTATGTGACCATTGCATGGGTCAGCTGCTTATGGGAACTGCGCAGTGTGACAGCTTGGCCAGGACACCACGGGGTAGAGAAGAGAGTGTTGGCACAGGGATGCCAAACGTTGGGCTCAATGTCACAAGCCCCGAGGCCCAGAAGACCCTGTGCAACTGCAACCAAGTGGCAAAGCTCTCGTAGCCCAGCAAAACAATGACGAGCCACGAGTGCAGGGCTCGCATCCTGTGCAGAGTGCCGAGCCGTTGTGGATAGACCCCAGCCTGAACCGTTTCCCTTTGCCTGCCTTCCACGCCATCTCACATCCACCGATTGAAAACTCAATGATCAAGTAATTGCATGCCTACACGTGCGCTGGTGCCGGCCCCATGCGAAGCAGGTGGCCGACCAGGCCACATGATTCGGCGACATGTATTCCCAACATCAAAAACAATCTCACAACCAAAGTGCGCACCTACAACATCTTAAACTGTGAACGCTGACAGGGTCGAGCTGCAAAGGGGGAGCCCCGCCCCGCCTCTGGAGCGGCTACGACGCGGAAGTGCACACGGACGCGCAGGCCAAACATCTCTCCTAGGGTTCGAAGACTCTAAGAAAGTCCGAGAAATTTTCTTGGGACATAGGAGTTTTGTTTGGGAAACGCTTTCAAGAGCCGAGTTGAGGCCAAGCCACGTGCTGCCGGCGCAAGGCTGGCGAGGAGAGTTCCGGCATCCGGGGGCAGCCACACCTCTGTGGGATTAGGAGCCCTGAGAATTTGTGCGGCCATCGGCTGGTTGCAACTGAAGCGCATCCATCACAATGCTCCGGGCCGGCTTCCCGACTTGAACTTCGATCTGCACACTCTCTCCTGGCATCGGATCCAGACTCTACAGGTCCTATCGGCCTCTGCAACTTCTTTCTACTACCTTCCCACCTAGCGTGTGGAACGAGGCTGCTTGAAAGGGTTTGAAGGGTCTAGGACTGGTGTCACCAGCTTCCCACACGTTGCTCCTGCTTCCACGGCCTCGACAAGGGGCTGCGCATCGCGGCTCCCGAGCAGCAGCAGCGGCACTCGGCCTCCACCGCCTTGTGTCATCAGCGACAAATTGATGCAAATTGATGCCATATGACGCGCAATATACACAACAATTGCACAGAACGGCGCACAAGGAACAGTGTACCATTATAGAGAGGATCAAGTGGATAAAAAGCTGCACTGGCAAAGACACATAAAGACACCTGGCCTTGCGTTCCAACCACGAGGGTGTCGGCAGCCTGCCACTTGTCACTTGAAGGGACGACCCTGCTTTGCCCATGTCACAACCATCACATTGGAAGATGTCCGATGCGCTGCCTCGCCGTCCCCACTTGCCGAGGTAAAGTCCACCACCACCACGGCGCTGGCCCCACGCTTGGCCGCCGCCGCGGACTGAAGGAAGTGGCAGACACAGGGATGCAGGGGTGCACATATGCACACATATATCGCCGACCCCAGCCGGAGCGGGGGCGGCGCCAGTGAAGACCATCGTTGTTTGCTCCCCCGCCTAGTGCCCGTTCCTCCCGCCCCCACCAGCCCCCCTCCTTGATGCCTGCCGTCCACCCCTGGCCGGGCATGGCCTCCATGGCTCCGCCCACATCATGGCCGCCGTGCCCCCATGGCCATCCGCATGGCCCCTATGGACCCATGGCTCCTGGCCCCATGGTCGCATAGCTCTACCTCATGGTCCCATGGCCCATGGCTCATGGCGCCATGACCCCATCCTCATGGAGCTCTTGGCCTCACGGCCAGGACCCTAGTGTGTGCCCGCCCCCCTCCCTCCGCTCTTCCCGCCCGCTCTGCCTTCATGGTCCCATAGCTCCTGGCCTCAGGGTCAATGGTCCCATGGCCCCATGCATCTGGACCGTGTAAGCTCACAAAAGGGCACCAGCCGCTCCGCCACCCGCTCCGCACCCCGCCCATGGCTCCCTTTCATGGTCCCATGGCCCCATCTCCGCTCGCTCCCATGCTCCTGGCCTCGGGTCAATGGTCCCATGGCCCACCCTCTCACCCCCATGGCCCCCATAGACCATGGGTCCTGAGCCCACTCCATGCCCTCCACTCCCCAACCCCCGTGGCCCCGATGACCCATGCCCCGGGGTTCATGGTCCCATAGCTCCTGGCCTTCAGGGTCAATGGTCCCATGGCCCCATGCCCCTGGACCCTCTCAGCTGTTGCACGGCGCATCGCTCACGGCGCCATGCTTTTGGACCCTATCAGCCCCCATGGACCCATGGCTCCTGGCCCCATGGTCCGTAGCTCTTGGCCTCAGATTCCGTGGTCCCCCCCCTCTCCCCCCCGCCCACCCCGCCCACAGCTCCCATGGCCCATAGACCCATCTCTCCTGGCCCCAGGGTCCTGTAGCTTTTGGCCTCAGGGTCCATGATCCCATATCCCCTTGCCCCTGGACCCTATCAGCTGACTTTAGAGGGCCGCAGTGTACGCCCGCCCACTCCCCCCCCCTCCGCCGT